TTAAAAATTAGTGAAATTAACAAATCGTGACAAAGATAGCGTTACAGCTTCGCCTAATCGCATGAGAACCTCACCTCTTATCTTAGCTCGCGCGACTCTATTATAGATATTTTATAAGAGATTAAGTTCTCTTAAGCTCTAATTCAATCAATCAACTTCTTTATAATATCTTTTTATGAAATAAGGTGAGCCCAAGCAACGGGTTATCGCTGACGCGCGCCGCTCGACGGCGGCGGCGAGCCTGCAGGATGAGGGGATATTATACATATAGGGTGAGACTTTTCATATAATATCCGAGTAATGACATTTCTTAGTCTTTATGATCTCTATGACCTCTCTTATAGTAAAATTATAGGAAACCTGCAGATTAGAAGAAACTACAAATTGCTTATTTGAATTCTTGAATTCGAAAAACGAACTTATTAGTTTAATTAGTTAAACTATTTGCCTAAATTGATAATCTTAAAGAACTATAAACAGGATTATATACATTAAACCAAACTGTTAGCATAATCAATAAACACTACTAATAGTTCAATTGATACAGTATTGAGTCCTATACTGAGCATATATGATTGGATACCGATATGATTAAATTCTAATCTACAAAAGGCTTCCTTCCATTCTCAATCCTCTTTAATCAACAATTAAGCTGAGAATCGTTCAATACAGTACTCCTGCTTGTCCTTATGCGCCAAACTCAGCCTAATGTCACCCCTCCTATGTCTCAATATCCTGACATATTCGGATTTGCCATTCTAGCTCAAAGTGTCTCATTCTGCCATGTCCTTAAAACGAACATGAGACTTTATGACCATACAAAACACACGTTTCTTGAACAAGGATAAACCCCCTCCGGCCCCCAAAAATAGTTTCACAGAATGCCACCGACCGTAGTATCTTAACATAGCTCGAATCTAATTCTTAGGCTTGATGAAAGCTTGATTAAACGGTTTGCGATTTGGCTTGATCTTAGTTCCTGCCCGCCCTTGTAACCATGATTCTTTGAGTGTCCGCGCTTGATTCGATGCCTTCGGTGGTAAATGTGAGTTTCGACCTTCCGCGACTCTAAATGTGGTTGAGCCCACTTGTTTGTCCTTCGGTCGTTTTTCCAAGAGATGGCGCAGCTTGTTGGAATTGACAAATCTGGTAGGCAGGCTCGAATGGAGATTTCCAGGTTCCGGGATACTGTCATCGTCATCTTCTAAATATTCGGCCGGCAAAAGATCTGGAAGAGGTAAATGTCCGGGAGGTGCGAAAGTTCTGTCTATTTCCTCAATGTCGTTCTCGGAGTCAAGTCGTCCATCTGCCGTTCCCTCCAAAGTATTTGATTCCTCATCCATCTCAATGTCTCCTCTTTCAGCCGCAACTGGTATCGATAATTCTTCGACCTTCGTTTTTTGAGCAGGAGGCAGTGATTCATCTAGCGCAGAAGCAACATCGAGCTTGCGTTTCTTGCCCGATATTTTGGATTGTTGTTTGAGGATGGCGTTCTTCTCCTGGCGTTTCTTTTTGGAAGCAGCTTCTTGCCTGGAACCCTTATTAGTGATTGACATAGGCAGAAATTCAGATGACACATACTCTACAATTGCCTTTGCGGCTTCCCTTTCCTTTTCTTTGGCGGATTTTGCAGCCTGATTTGTTGTGACCTCCTCTGGTGCATCGTCATCGCTACTCTCATCCTCATCATCCTCAATTTCAATTGTTTCGAGTTTCTCTTCTGGTATTGGCTCAGGTTCTGCACTATCGAATCGCTTGTGCTTTTTTGCGACCGGTGTTGTGATTGTAGTAGTTGTCTTTGATGAGATTGTGACATCTCCATTAATTGCTGTCGTTTTTGTGATCTCCTCGTCTGCTTCTATGGTTTGTAGTTCTTCTGGTTGTTCCGCAGAAGCTGGTATCCCCACGACCACTTGCGGCGATTGCTTTGGTGTGACCTCTCCATCGCTTGCTTGTATCGGCAATTGGCTTGAGCTCCTCGTGGGTTGCGTAGTAGCTACAGCCTCATCATCCTCAACTGTAAGGGGCTTGCGCGGTCGCCCTGTCTTCTTTGGAACTGGATTACCCTCATCAATGACTATAGAATCTCCATTCACGGAAGGAGTATCTGCCAATTCTCGAGCTTTACCCCGCGTAGTAACCATACTTCTAGTTTTCCTATTTTCTTCACGCAATTGCTGGCTAGGAGTTGATGGGTCGTCCGATTGAAGACAATCTTTCGATGACGATCTGAAAAGTCTGGCGAACATGCAGAAAACCTGTATTGAGTTAAACTTAAATATTTGTAGTGTTGTGGGCCTTTGTTTGTACGTAGAGCGAACTGCAAAAAAATCTGTGAGATTTCTTTAGTGCCACGGGAAATGGGAGACGGGAAACGCTATGACACTAATTTTATTTGTTTGTTCACCGCCCTTCTTGGTTCATGGATGGCAGAAGCATCTACTCATCTTACTTCATCTACTCGAGTACTTGTGGTGTAACTGTAACTCATCTATCTCATGGCTTCAATGTAATTCATCATCTCATGCATTCAAGCCTGTGATTCTTGACATTCTCTATCTATACAAAGTGGCAGGTATCATGTCGAATTTCGGAGTACTCGCTCATCTTCAAAATGGTCTTAAGCTATTAAACCAAAGGTCACTTCATACCAGCCCAAGACTACTCATTATCAAACCATCAAGAAAGCAAATATTGGCAAGGAGAGATGCTGCTAATCCAGTGCTACAACAAAAGAGAGTCTCAATCTCTTCTCCCGATGCTCTCCCACCACTTTTTATTCTAGAGACGGACCGAAAAGCCGGAGCCCTGAATGTAGACCCTCATAAGGCCATTGAATTCCTCCGAAGTTATCAACGGGTGTTGGATGAGCAAACAAGCTCATTGAGGGGATCTGATACTTGCAGCAGTAAGTTGGATTATCATTAGCTTATATACCATACTGACACCTCTCAAGAACACGGTTTGACAGCATCTGATGTGACACAACTATCTTTTTCTTTGGGAAGATGCGGGGAACAAGCACAAAAAGCACTAGGAAGAAGTTTAATAGACTTAGCTTCAAATATGGGAGACGCTGGAGCCACATTGGAGGTTATGTCTCATGCTCTCCGTAACAACCAGCTACACACAGCAAGGACTGGACCTTTTCTTGCTCGTTTAGGTATTTTAGCCAAGAAGAAGGAGAACGTCCAGGCTATGGGAATGCTTGGCCGAATTCTCTTCAGCCAAGGAAAGGAAACCGAAGCTCAGCAGTGGCTGCAAAAAGCGATTTCCGGACCAGAATTGGCGACCTTCCCAGGAGCTGCGGAGACACTTGTTGTTCTTGGTCTAATTCTCCAAAAGACCGATAAAGAAGCCGCAAAGAAAATCTTCAGAAAAGCAGCATTAGATCTCGATGATCCCTCTGCATACTTTTATCTTTCCCAACACGTAGGTCCTGACGAGGATGATGAGAGAGTGGTTTACCTACTCAAAGCAGCCGGCGCAGGCTTGCCTGAAGCATGTCACAATCTTGGCGCCATTGAGTTATCTAAGATGGGTGACCAGGCCGACAAAAAACCGACAGAACGAACTTACGGGTATGCTAAAGAATGGTTCCAAGTTGCAGCCGAGGGTGGCTTTGGCTTGAGTATGTTGAATTTGGCTTCAATATGCAAATCTCAGGGTCAGATTGCGGAGGGTTTGAAATGGTTAGAGCAAGCAGAGGCGCTGCCTGAACTTCGGGATGAAGCAGTAAAGATGAGATCTGGTTTCGATTCTGATTAATACCAACCAATCTCAAACCAGTCGGACTCAAGATATCGAATTCCAGTGCCCATGCTCTTATCCACGCCATGTGTTGACTATCAAGGCTTCCTTTCAATACATTATGACAAGAAATCCTTTGGAAACGCCTCTAGTCTGTTTGTAAGACTAAAAAGTTGCGCCGGCCATGCCATTTCTCCGGATGTCAATATGAGCCATTCAAAACAATGCAGTCATTGTCCAAAGGGATCATCAACATCAACCTAGTCTAATTGAAGGCATCAAAAAATGACCCTCACCCTCCTTTCGTTGAAACTGGATATGTATACACAATATGGCCAACTCCAGGACTACAATGAAGAACAAATTTTCGAATATAAATCGATACTCTATCTAGTCTTGATGGCACGTCGTCATGACTGCTTCCTATCTACTTAACGTGTCTCGTCGATTTGTACTCTTTGTATGCCATACAAAACTGACTCCGAGATTATCTCGAGCTTCTGTCGCACAGCATACGAGAAGAGTACCGGTACCAGAAGTTCTCCGGTCCGCTTAAATAAAATCCGAAAAGGGTAGGTGGAGTCAGGCGACTCAACCTTTTGGTTCTCGGCCACACACTTATTTGGATACTCAATATACCATTACCTTAAGTTTTGTGGGTTATAAATGTCAGAATTTCTCCTACTACTTGGTCCTTAAATTCAGGCATAATACATAATCCCCGTATCAAATACCATTTCTCTCTCATCATTTCCATCTCGCTTCACATTTATCACCCAATAAGATTTTCCAGTCAAACGAGTACCGGTATTACCTCTCCATTCCCATTTACAGTACTCGAGTATAAAGTAATTGCATTCCTATTCGTACTGTTCGAAGATCACCATCGATTCAACAGAAAGCGGAACAGCTTAGGAATGTAACGAAAGAGTGGAATTGACTCTTATTGGAGCTTCGAGTGTTCCCATATTAATTGACTTCGTACTTGCGGCATAGGATGAGTCAATATCTCCATCAATGAATTATATGTACTATCGTCATATATTTAAAGTGTTCAACGGTAATTAACCAAATGTACACGAATTAGCGACAAAATTAGCTCAATTTATCGACAGTAAGTACAATATTTGGTGGCGGGAAGGGGGAGCTTTCCCCAGCTCTATAAACAAACTCTATAACAAGCATCAGATATCTAGCAGACTACTAAACTAATGCAAATAGAAGAGTCCGGTACTACCTAGTACTAATCTCAGCTCCTGTTTGTGATGCGAATGTCAATCGATGCCGTGGCAGTTTATTTCTGGTTTATTCCTGATATCCAGTAATCAATTGTAGGTGTTAAATACTCGAGTAGTAAGAAGTGAAATTTGTCATTTTTATGGTGGAGAAAGATATTATATCGCTATGGTTATGTTAAGTGAGTGACACTGAGTGTTAGGTGTTACGATATACTGCCCGCATTGTCCATAACCGGGGAGTACTACGAGTACTAGGTTTACCAAGAGCATCTCCTCAAAATAAAACCAATTACTGGTATCTACTCATAGAAGCCTTTTTCTCCATCAATTCAATATCAGTATCACAATAATTACTCACCAGCTATTTCTTTCGGAATAGAAGAAGCATAAATGCACAGCAACTACCCCTTAAAAATCAAAAGATTAAATGGATTGGATCACAATGAGGCTTGATGTGTTATGTTAGCAAGGAACACAAGACATAGTATATCTAGGTACAACATTCACTCACGACCTCCGCATTACAGTATTAGTACGGTGCTCTGACCGGCTGAGCTAACGGTACGCGACCTGGAGGTTTTGAGATGTTGAGGTGGATTATGGGGGGGAGGGGAGTAGGTTGGAGGCTTTTCACGGCAACCAATCACGACAATCAACCACTTACTTAAGTGGTTGAACAGTGGTGGGGTATGCAATTTTGCGGTACCGGTATTTATGATCGCGACAACGAGAGTTCGACGACGAGGGTGCTGGCGGATATGGTCATGGGAAAGGTATGCTTTATGGCGGTAGCAAGTTTTACTATTACTATTAATATACCGGTACCTAGTAATTGGTTGATTCTTTGACGGTAAATACTGAGTAGCTGAGTAGAGTGTAATGGTGCTATGTTCCCGCTGTATACTCGAGTAGCGACGGTGAACTTCACGCCTAGAGCAAGGAAGATACTTTAGAATAATACTCGTGACTCGTGACTTCTTTGTTCTAAAGTGTGAGGGCATATGGTGTAGCAACTTTTATTAATCGAAGCGAAGGAGTCTTCTACTGTCAACAGAAGTCTTCCAGGCCTCAATATTCTCACAAAATCAAGCAAAGTGAAGATGGCGTGGGATGGGTAAATTTTGACACAGATACATAGCCACCACTGTCGTTTACCAGATATAAGACAGTTCACTCAAAACATCTGGATGAATGGATGAATGGATGAATGGCCGTAGAAAACAAATGTATATCAACCAGAGACGTAACATTGTTTTCGTCGTCTTCGATGTGACTAATTGAGGTTGAGGAGGCTGTAACTTGCAAGTGCGTATATATATATAGTATCCATGCTAGAATATCTAAAGATCGCAAGTGAAAGAAGCGAATACTTCATGGCGCTATGCTTTCTTTGAACTACTGGATTTAGTAGGTATCAACCGGAATCCATAGAATGGCGAGTTTTACTATATATTACAGATTATATGTAGTATCTTTGAGAGTTTGGCGGCGTATAGAATAGACCAAGGCAAATTAGCGTCTATGGTTGGAGAACTCAAGCTCTAGTTTGCTAGACACATTCGAAATAGCAGATTGCTTCAAACCCAAGGCAAAAGTTGCAAGAGGCCAATACTGGACACTTTACGGGAACGAAATGTTACGTGACTGTCTCGTTCAGTTATGGTCATCGTCCTATTTTATCTACATTAACCGTCATTTCAGCAACCGCCCTTTTGCTGCCATTGTATCTTCCATTTTCCATTTTCCATTTTCCGTGTCAAAATGTCTGATGCTTATCATCTAGACGTTACATTCTTCCCAAGTCACGCTCACGCTGAGTAAAGTACTACACCAGTTCACTAATCCTGATAATGAACCGCTCTCACATCCTGAGATTGAAATTCGTTCTCTTGACTTTGTCCAATTACCGAAAATGATTTCCTGAACGAAGCTACAAATACTCGGCGGGGTTTTAAAAGACGTATAGGCGAAAACAAAAGAATGACTACTAGCGTAATTTTATATTTTATCTTACAAAAATTCTAGACATTATTAGTTAGCTAATTTGAAGTCTATATGTAAAATTTAACTTTAATTTAATATGATTTGGATTAATGATTTGATTTGGATTAATGATTATATATTTAAATAAAATGAGTTAAGATTTAGAACTTTTTATCTTTAAATTCTAAATATATTATTTATAATACGATTTTGAAT